TGATGATAGATGACACGTTGATGAAGCAGTAGACAGGAGATATCTTGGTTCAATACAAATTAGATAGTATTTGCAGTATTCTTGGTCAGTAGGGCTATTCCACTTACCCGAGGCAACACCCCTGCTGTGCATTGGCCATGTACACTACTTTTGCCGGATACCATAGTAGAGTGGGAACAACGCCTGAGCCAGCGCTTCGGGACAGGAGGTCGCGCCTTTCCTCTGAAAGACGGCAATGGCAACCACACTCTCGATCCTTAGGGTGGCTCCTTCGTACCAACTTAAGAACACATCCGTACTGGATATGACAATCTGTTCTGCTACTCGGCCTTGCTAGCATTTGTCTTGGGATTTGCCAAATTGCCGATGGTGGCTTATTCGTTCTGCCCCCACCCACCCAATCACACAGGCTGCCATGGTGACTTCTGCGGGTGTGTGATTTTTTGATTCTGTTTTCATTGGTCCCAGAAAACTCCTGGATAGAGGTTTGGGTGCGAACAACTTAGTTGACGAGGTTGAAGACGATGCATGTGAGATCCAGTGTCGCAGCTCAGGTATCAGCGAGCTTCAGCGAAGGACAAAGTGCTTCATTTCGATCGGAACTGAACATCCCGGCAACAAAGCAGTACACGACAAAGCTACCGATTTCATTCTTGGTACTTTGAAGGATATGGCGACCGAAACCGAGGTTACGGCAAGAAAATCCGAGCACAAGTGGAGGCAGCAATTCGCGAGCAATGTATATTTCCGGTTCAATGTGGAGCACGGACTCGACGAAATGGGTTTGGAGGAGTACAAGAAAGTCGGGATCTTGGACGCTACAACAGATGCGTACCTCAAGACGTGGACGGTGCAGGCCATGATGGACCGTTGCACAAAGGCTCTCGTTGAAAAGCAATGTGTGTACGAGACTGATTTTTCTTGAAGAGGTAAAGGCTAACGATGAGACGCTTCAAGTCATCTCGTAGGCTGACAATACATTCGCTGCGGATATGCACTTTCTTGAACTGTACCGTCCTTCGCGCTTTTCACGTATCTCCAACGATTGGGCTTTGACCTACGGTATGGACCTAATACACATGACATCCTTTGAACATTACTGAGGTGTTGAGTAGGAAAAACCTTGTGTGACAACATCTTCACTCGAATTTCTGACTACGAGCCGGATCGTGTGCTTCAGTCTATCACGTGGAAGAAATGCAAAGGTACTACAACCTGATTCCTAAGAAAGCTAGATGGTATATACCTTCAGTGGAGGGGAGACCCGCTGTCTACTTCTGGATCTCCGGAAAAAGTATGTAAGCCTTTGCTAGTTCCGAAATCGACACAGCTGACGCATCCCACGCAGTCGGTTTGGGAAAGACATTTATTATGTATGCTCGGTCGCGTCCTGTTATTGTGGGTCTGGTTCAAAGGCTAACAAATACAGGACAGCGGTCATTGAGACTTTTTTACCCACTCATTTTGTTGGCCACTTTTTCTTTCGACTTTCTAATGGCAGCAACATGCTTGCTATCGATTTCTTCAGTCCCTTTGTTTGTCAGACTGTTGTGTATCTGGACCATCTAAAGCTCCCATACCCCCACGCTGTCAGGGTGGCCTTGACGTGCTTTTTCGGCCCAGACTATCGGCCATCTTCGTTTGACGAGGTCTTCAGGGAATGCTTCCTACCCCTCCATCTTTATATGATCAAACACCACATCTCAATATTTTACGTGGTTGTTGGTCTCCACGGATGCGAGGAAACCGAGACCAAGACGAATCTGGGTTTCTTGCAGAATCTAATGGAGAGCGGTGGCGCAAAAGTCTTCATCTCTGGTCGCGAAAGTCTGGGCGTTGCAAGCTACATCAAACCTGTAGTCAAGATCACCGTCTCTAAGGAAGATACGCGCGATGACATCCGCATTTTTATCAACTAGAAAATGTACTAAAGTCCCCTTGATATTGCTTGTCAATCGGTGGACTTTGCCGTTGCGAAGTGTTTGTTGGACGTCATCACCAGATTGGTTCTGGAAAACTTTCGAGCGACAAGATTTGACACTCATGAAAGAGTTCATTGCCGCCTAAGAATTGAACGACTCAAGGCATCCGTTGCTAAACATCGACTCTGCCGTCGATTGGTGGCGCGTCAACGTAAAGCTTTGAGTCTCGACTCGATTGTCTCATGGTTGTGTGAAGCTGGTCTGGATCTCAACGCGGTCGATAATGAGGGCAACACTTCCCTTCACGCGGACCTTTACTGACAAGCACATCGAACTTTTCAAAATCCTTTGTCATCTGCCGGAGGTCGACAAGTGTCTGCGATACCACAATGGCTGTACAGCGTTACGTCAGCTCTTGCGGCAGCGCAAGGCTCGGTTCGGCCACATGATGAACTTCCAATTCTTCATGCCCTTCTTGGCCGTAAAGAGATTCTTGGGTTCGATGTGGCGGATAGAGGTGGCTTCATACCGTTGTCCATGTTACTCTATCACGAAGCAGCCGTGACAGATTTCATTGACTGAAAAACGGTTGAACGTTGCCATTTCTGCCCTGAGTCATCCACAGTTCACCATGGGGAGATAGGACGACGAATGAGCTCACTTGTGTGTCCAAATCTTTTTGAATGCCGATCGCTTGATACCACGAATTACGGGTACGGAATTTGTGCATATTCACCTCACAGTAATACATGCCATATATTCTCAACATACAGGCAGGGCAGTCAACAAGATCTAGCGAACTATCAAGCTCCGTCTCTCTACAAAGCCTAATAAACTCCCTCGAGGTCTCTCAAGCAGAGAAGAACTGTCGCCAGGACAGCCATCCCTGCTCACAGCGGCCGTTTGTCTAGATCACGATGCTGACTGCACCATCAGGTACCGATACAAAACGTCATGGTCGACGATAAAGCTTTGATTGAGTTTCGAAGGCGATAACAAGGCAACTTGGTTTTGAAGATTGTTGTGCAGGCCAGGACCCTAGTTGATCTCAACAAGGCCACAGCACAGATATCCTTTAGCGGTATTGATGTCACACGATCTGGGGAAAGCTTCAACCTGCAGCAATAGTATCATTAAATGCAAAGACATTATCAGGTTCACAACTCAATTCGCGCTTCGATCGGCTCTTTTGCGGCAGTCACATGTCACTCTTCATCATGCCGCACGACTTGAAACGCCTCCTAGCTTCACTTCGCCTTGCGGCAGCCCTACGATATCTGCAACCTGTATGGTCGCAGATCTCGTGTCGAGCACTGTAGCACTTTTCAGAACTGCAAAAGTGGGTAATGGCTCGAATGGGTCCGGACGTCGATCCCCTGCGTCCTGGTACTTGGGTCAGGAACAAGTGAGTGGATCGGGGAAACTCGGTCAGTATTGGTGAAGGGTCGTGAGAAGATGGTGAGAAGGATGAGAAAGGATATAACAGTCTCGCAGCTATTATGTACAGCAAAATAGAGGAAACTACCGGAAAGAACCAAGCATGTCATTAGGGTATAATCTCTCAACCAATCCATTCCATTTCATACTTCACCATACATACCACCGTTCCCCTCCTCTGCAAATACAAACGCTCGCCTCCCTCCTTCCCACTTGTTGCTTCTATCTAAGGAACCTTTTGTATTAGCCGATAGCATGTGCCAGACAGGCTATCGGTGTGTTCTTAATGGGGTGCGGCCGTCGAGTGTCCATGCTTGGGCTAAAAATGTGTCGTTGGCTCATGTTACTGATACTTTTCTTCCATTGCTCCTCTCCTTCTTTGTTGGTCAGAAAGTGTGGGAGTGTCTATGGTGAGGATGCTTTACTAGACATCTCAGCGTCGACGTAGCGCGGCCATGTGTTGGTGAACACGAGGTACTTGATGCTCTCGTACGCCGCATCGAAGATGTCCTCGGTGAATTCGCTGGGAATGATGCCGCCAGTACTCGATGTGGTAGAGGTGGTGATGTCGGATAGTACACTAGCCGGGCGGCTCAGCGTCTCTTCCCAAGGACAAATAACGTTCTCGCGGATGACAGGAGACTTGACATCATCAGGTGTTGTGCTGCGCGGCATGTACGGGTCGTATTCCATGCCCGCGAACAGGTCCTGCAAGACCTTGAAAACCTTGTATTCGATGTTGATGGGTGTTTCGGCAGTGAAGGGGTTGATGAGGGTGAAGTAGATAAGGGAGGCTTCGCTGAACATTTGGCGGCGTTGGGCGGTCGAGACGACTTTGAGGGAGGACCACTTCTTGCGCCAGTTGCGGACTTCGCGGAGGAAGATGGCATTCTCGGCTGTAAATTCTTTTGTTGCGGCCCAGACAATGAGAGGCTCGATGTTTTGTTCAATGCTGAGCTCGAGGGCTTGCATGGAGGCTTTAGGCTTCAGTTCGCGGAAAAGCTCTTGAGCTGATTTCTGTGACGTCGCGGAGATGGTTGATGTCAATGATGCGGTTTCGGTTGCTGTTGACATAGGTCGTTGACGAGGCTTCGACTTGAAGGCGTCGGCGAGGGGGATCAGAATAAGAACCTGTTGGCATACGACGAGAGATGGAATGAACCATCCCGCTGGGGCAAAGTAGTTCCTGATCTGAGCGATCTCGGGCATGTCCGAGTATGTAAATGCAATCCATAGTGGTGTTCCAGGTAGGCTAGGATTTCAGTCAGCGTTTGCTTCGATTAGCTGTTAGAATACACGTACCCAGCAATAATGGCCAGCCTGGTCTGCCACGCCCACGAGTGAACATCCTGAATGTGGCGAATCTTCCAGAGGATCCAGGGTCCGACCATTGCTGTCCAAAAAAGCTGTACGAAGATTGATGGGATCCTGTCATCTCATCAGCAATTGAACAAGTCGAAGCCGCTCTCTTTACACACCATTCGAAACCTTTGCGGCATTCCATGAATCCAGCCACTGTCCCGAAGAAGCCGTAACTGGCATGAAAGCGACGCGAACCAAAGTAAAGGATAACAGCAGGGACGAACTGTTCAAGTCAGTGTCAGATCAAAGCAAGGAAATGCAAGAGACCACTTACTGAGATGACCAAGCCCAGGAGAGTGAGTACGTAAACTTTCGATGCTGCACCGAGATTCTTCCAGGCCCTACACAGCCCTGCAGGCGTGTATGACATCCGCTCCTTGCGAGCACCCTCAAGAAAGTTGCGCGTCATACGACGTTGGCTCTCGTATGCTGTGAGAACTCTGGCATTGCAGGCTATTGAAGTCAGAACAAACATGGATTATGGCTGGTAGGATCTTACCCTGGAAAAATGCCATTCCTGACGGTAGGAAAACAGACATGACCCAGAACTCTGCCGAGCACGGGTAAAGTCCATTCCACGGGTACGCCAGCAGCACGAGTGTGAGGTAGACATGGAGCATCGACACCGCAGCGAATACGATCTTGATGTTCCTGATTCGTATACAAAACGCATTTCGCATTCGGTACAAAAGTGTAAGTTCGAATGCCAATATAATGGTGTATACTATGGCGATAACAACGTATGTGATACCGAGAGCATCAGTGTTGCTTGCCTCGCCATTGAGCATTCGTGGGGTGAGAATGGGCGCCATCCTGCCCATGGTGTGGTGATCGTAATGGTGTTGGTGTGCCCAGACCCAGGAAAAAGGGCGAGCGAATCAATCGATGATGTGCTTGGTTCCCTCGAGGTAACGCTGATGTTCCTGAAAGTGGATGAGGGAGGTGTGAGGTGATGATCCTCGGCAGACTCAAGCCACAGTCGACGAGCAATGAGGTGCGAGGATATGTCTATCCGGCTCTACCTCTTTTCTTAATACAACGAGAGTGTGGGGAAGGATGGTAGAAGGAGTGGAAGACAGCTGGTTACCGGGAGTGCGGAACAGGTCAAGCAGATGTCACATAAGCGAAAGGAGAGAAGTACACCTGCCAGGGAGCGAGTTGATGCCAGGACCTGATGAAGCAGGATGGAAACTTGCACATGGACTGGGGCCTCTGAAAAAGAGAGTAGGCAAGAATCAGTTCAGGCGTAACCCAAGAGGAGCGGCAAGGGAGGGTAAATAGCAAATCGGCAGCATCCGACCATCTGTATCACCCATTTTTGGGAGGGGTGAACCCTGTGCAACTCGAAGGGAGCATTCAGCCTAGGGAGAGGACGCGTGAACTGCAGCGCCATGGCGGAGAGCCATGTCACAGGCGCCGCCACTGGTTCACAGACTGCAACCTTGCAATACCCATAGCAGGCACGGTTATGCTGCTTCTATGGAGGGGTCATCTGGTTGCCTCGAAACTTGACCGCCAGTCAATAGGAATGTCGATAGTGGGAAGGAAGTTGGGATGGAAGCGTAGGAAAGAGCGGTTGATGTGTGTGCACGAACCGTTAACCGATCGGCGCCTTCCCGCTCAGACAAACTGGGTTTCGATCGGCGCGTCAGAGCAACATCACCGAACATGACATACCGCGTTAGGCTGTATACCAGGCGCTACCTCACCCAGATGGAGCTCTTGCATCTTCGCCACATCATCCATCCGGTGGCATCGGGCGAGAATGCAGGTACAGCTCTCAGCTCTGCTGGCTTGCTCGTCCTTCACCCGTCAGACCCTCCTGCGCCAGCGCGCTTCCTCAGCCAACGTCTGAACGCAGCTTGGATCCACCGGCGCCCGGCACGTACATGCACTGCCGTCGTTTCAGTTCTGTGTAGGACCGTATCTTGCTGTCCGGCAGCGATCCTGCGTTCATGCAGCCGTGCATCTTTCGCCCTCAGGTTCGGTTGACGAGGGACGTCGCCTTGCATTTCGCCCTCCTGTCACTTTTGAGTGGTTTCACGTCAAGTTTTCTAGAAGCTGGTTGCTTCGCCTTGTTCCTGTCGAGGAAGCGTCAACGTGGATGTCAAACTTAACAGTGCGAATACGACATCCACTTTTGGCGTTGTGCGCAGCTTTCAGACATTGACCAAGAATGCACTACGCCTCTTCCTTCCGATACGAGAAGGCTCTGATCAGGCAAGAGCAGGTGATGTGGGGAAGTGACGCGGTGAGACGACTCTCGATGTAGCTGTATCAGGCCGGCAGGGAGCTCGACGCTTTCCAGCTGTGGCAGGTTGCATCACTCTTGCGATATTCATGGTTTGCAAAGATCGATCAGAAGCTCAGCAGTATGCTGTGGAGATGCTAATGCCACCTTCAGGTCGAATCGGCAACCATCCGAGTTAGCAACTATTCTGAGGGCCCTTTCACCGAGACATCGCACAAAGCCCCATGCAAATATCGACAGCAGCGGCAACTCATCAGAAAATCAGCCGCTCAGTCAGCTGTGATTGGGCTCTGCTCCGTACCCCTGCGTCGAGCGTCCAGCACAAAACCCGATATTTACCTACCTTCAATAAAGGAGACCAATGAATTTGCCAACTGCATCACCCTAAGCGAATGTTGAGGATAAGACACCCCGCTCCACATGTACCGAGCCGCAATTCCGGATTTTTGACCGTTTGTGTGTGACAGGCTTCACGAGCAGAGTAAGGTGACGCGGTGTAGCACTCTCACAATGACACTACGATCTACCCAATGTGTCATGCGAATGGTATTGGCATGGGAGCTCGACTTGAGGCTATGATAATCATTCGATGGCTGGACGCCAGATCCACAACCACAGTCGAACCGTAACCACAGTACTGGATCTTGAGCTGATCATCAACGATGGGACAGCAGGGTACCACCTATCTTAACAGCTACCACTCCATCATCAAATATAACCACAATCAACTACAAAACTCGATGCGGACGACTTCTGCGGTGCTCGACCCTTTGTCACGTTCTGTCAGGCACTGTAACGCACACCCCGCTGTTGGTGCGACACACGAAATGTATCACCCGCCCCTCATACGAGGCAGGCTAGGGTAGTTGACACACGTCTGGATAATGGCAGCTTTGTATACCGTGCATGCGGACTTCAGTTGGCACTGCCTTGCTGCTTCCACGCGCGTCATCCTCTTGAGAAGCGGCTTTACTGTGGATCTACTCGATACACATGTCACATCTGGCGGCTAGGAACAACAGCTCTGACAGCTTGGTCGTGACTGTTTTGCTGTTTCGTAATGTCGCTCTGCTCAAATCAAGGTCAATTTAGACTGCTGACGAGTTGCTGACTGAGTTGCAGAACAGATCGAGAGATTGATGCGTCATCCACTCACCCTTTCATGACATGCTATTAGGAACGACGACTCTTTTGACAGCTTGTGACAGACCCGAGTGGCACCAATGTAAATTCCAAACAACATGCATCCTCATCGGCAACTTTGACTCGTCACTCCATCGCCCGCAAAATCCTCCTCACGCACATAATTAAGAACATGGCCCTCTTGCTAGTTGAAATCGATTCTAGCGTCAACGTTCGGAATCCCACAACATGCTTTTGAATCTGCGTATTACAGCATGTACACCTACCGTCTCACTCTGTTCTGCATCAGGCCCAACCGGTCAGACTGCATATATGTTCTCACTGATCTCACAATCTGAAGCACAGCAACAGAGCACGCAGAGCATACGGATCACCACGACAACGCACCTAGGATATAGCTAGCAGGAACACTGCCCTTATGGCATCGTGTTCAACCTCGTCAATTAACTTTGTTATTGGAATCTGAGTTAGATAGTCTACTCTATACTACTCATCGTTACCCCAAGTTGCTAAGGTGTTTCACTATACAACTTACCCCTTATCATCACGAGCTTTGCTTAGGTGATAAATACTTACTGTTCCAGAAATTGTACTCATCCCCAAGAACCAATCAAACTGTGCTTCCGAGCTTTGCTTAAAGTATGACTTCAACACCAGCCCCTTCTTCCTCTCCCACTTCTCTGATACCCGGGCCCTTCCCCTTTGATATCCATCTCAATGTAAACAGTCAGTACAAGATGTACTGTACATCAACGTTTGGTGTATTGTACATCAAGCGCTTGGTGTGTCTTACATCAACAGTTGGTTCATAGGGTCTAGCTCTTTCGGCTCCTCCTAGGCAGAAGCGAATGATGCGTCCAGCTGGCCTGTGCATTCGCATTCTCGATCATGACAGCATTCCAATTCTTACTGTACAGTATCAAGGGCTTAGGTCAACATTCGGCTCGTACCGTCCAGCACACTAGAGAGTAGCGCGCCATGTCCGCCTTCAACACTCATCGAACCTTCATGACCTGAACGTTGATGTCATTTACTCATCCCCTCTTCGATCACCAAAAGCACGCAGACGATCGATTCAAGCACTTGTCAAACGAACGTTTAGGCAATAGCAGCACAACACAGAGCAATCGTAAGCGGATTGATAGATAAGACGGTGGATTGCAAGCCGAACTTGTGGCGTTCATTAGGTCTGTCGCAACAAGTGTTGGCAATCCGTGTGCGCAGCAGGACAGCAACGCCATTGATCCCATCACCGCCTTTTTGCTTGCAGAATTGCCGCTATACCTGCCGCGTCCGCATTTCCCTGAAGGACCGTACTCCTCCCGTGCGCCTTGTTGCCCTGGTATAGCCTTTCTGTAGGTGCGTGGATCTGCCGTTCGACGAGATCCGTATTGAACATGTCCGCATCATCGAACGCCTCGTTGTCAGTCCACGACACTTTGTCTACGAGATCCAGCGCTCTTACGTCCTCAGCTGTAAGAGGTACCGTGTCATTGCCTTTAACAGTCAGCATGAGCGAGTACCATCGTGACACTGTACAGTACCTCCTTCGTCTAGGTGTCGCCCTTCGAATCGAGCAGCCATGGAAAGCCTCTCGCCAAGGACCCTTTGCACGTTTCTGTCAACCCGCTGGACTACTGCTAGAGCGGCTGTGAAGCCGGTGCGCAAGGACCCGCTCAGTCCGACGTGCGCCGTGACAATTTGTGCGGTAAGGTCTGCTTTCGCCCGGTCTAGTTGAGTCATGACAGCCTCGAGACCCCTCTCGTCTCTATCACCGTTGACGAGCGCATGCGTGTATTGCTTGGCTCTGCCCTTTGCTAGTCGCGCGGCGAAGGCATCAAGCTGGCATTGTAACTCTTTTCCCAGATTGATTACCACCTGGATCTGTTTCTTGATTGCCGGTGTTTGTAGGTCGGGCTCATCTTGTATAAGTCGCAGCGTACTTAGCAAGTTATCTAGCTGGCCTTGGTAACCATCCAGGCGATCTGACGCGCCATGTACTTTTGCTCTTGCATCCTGTATCTTCTGAACAATGGTGATTGCCTGGCTGAGTAGCTGAGAGACGGCAGCTGTGCCGCCAATTACCTCCTAGCGGTGTTCGGTCAGGATTCTGCTTTTGTCCGTGTAGTACTTTGAGAACATACCATTGCCGACATTACTGATCGAGTGTGCGTTGGCTCTTCTAGAAGTCGATTTTGTGTTGCAGGTTTTGTCGTTGGTGTTCGCATGCAGCCTGTTCCGCTGAAGACTTGGCGGCATGAACGCCTTGCTGTAAGCGCCTGCAATCCGCATGGCCTCTACTAAACTGCATCCCGCCTGTGAGTTTGACATCAACTCGAATCGATTACTACAGTCCAGCACAGAATATTAACTACTGAAGGCCGCCCTGACCCGCCCTGACCCGCATTCGATCGTACCCCGCAGGGTCATCCCCGGTACCGTGTCTGTGCGCGCAACGCGCATGTTCTCGCAACGCGCGCCTCGGCTGCTCAACCTCACTATTTGCAACCACAATAGCTCAACGCCACGATGCCGGTGAAGGATGCCCTTGCAGAGGCAGGTGCAGCAGGTCAGGTTGAAGGACTTTCATATACAAAGTTAGCTAAAAAACATGGTGTAGTGCGCTCAA